TTCTTTTGAAGCAACTGAACGGCCAATCGAAAATCGTGCACCTGCAACTGCTCCACAGTTTCCACGTCATTCCGGTACTGTTCATTTGTGGCATTTTATTCGTGAACTTCTTGACCAGCCTAAACAGTACAGTTCTTGCGTCAGATGGGTTGACAGAGAAGAAGGTTACTTCTAACTGTTTTTATCATGTGTTTTAATTACCTCAGATTAACATCCTTATCGTTATCAACAGCAAAGACAGCAATTGCTGACTTGTAATTGTTCTTGCAGCCGATTGTACTGACATTGGTTTATCATCAAAAAGAAAAATTTTTTTACTGGAATTATTTAAAATTGTTGTTTTAATAGTAGCATTATTATTTCTGTTTTACTTCATTCTAAATATAATTTCAAAACCTAATTTAAATAACCAATTTTTTTTAATTGTTTTACTTTTAGGTACCTTTAAAATTGAATCTTCACATCATCTGGCACGTTTTTGGGGGCAACGAAAAAATCGAGCACAAATGAATTACGATAAGCTGTCACGCTCATTGCGGCAATATTACAAAAAAGGTATCATACAGAAGCCAGAGAAAAAGCAGCGTTTAGTCTACAAATTTTTGCCTCCCTACAACTTGTAAGTTCAGGCTAGGCGGCAAGAGAATAGTGTGAAGTTAAAATACTGTTCCTACGGGTGCAGTAAAATAAGTAAAGGCGCCATAGCCGACAACCTCAACGAGGTTGTTTAAACCAGACGTTGTTTATGTCAATGAACTGTTCCTTTTTTTGTTATTTTCCTTTCCTTTTTCTAGTTTTTTTTGAATACATTAAACAGAGTAAGGTGTTGTTGATCAGTTTTCTCTCACTCGAGAACAACAGCAATAATCAGACTGTAATTAATAGTAATGATTCTTCTGGGTTCGAGATTGCAACCAACTGTCATAAATTGGAAGTTACAGTGAAGAAAAACAAAAGAAGAAATTTGTTGATTATAATAATTGACCCATACTTGAGGTTTCTAGCTTATTTTAGACTAGACAGTCAACAAGTTTTGTCTTGCTGTAACCATTTTTTGTTTGTTTGAATTTGACAATTTTTCAACAACACCATCGTAGTTTACAGTTTTTTTTAAAAATTTTATTCACTTAAGTGAATTTACATTTTTTGTATAT